AAGTGCACGTTGAACTAAGTGTCCTCCTTTTGAGTAGAAGAAGGAACAAATAGCCCTCATAGATCTCATAGCTGTTATTTTTGTTGATGCTATATGTGAGTTCCAAGACAATGTTTCAGTAAACTCGATACCCAGATACTCCCTACCATCTAGAGTCCATCTATGTTTCTTTGGTCTTTTGGCAAATACTACTACTTTGGTTTTAGAATAATTTATCTGCAAGACACAGCATGTACAGGTAGTCCTTGCTTAACGACTGGTCATTTAATGATGGTTCAAAGTTACGACAGCCTCAGAAAAAGTGCTTTATGACCTGTACTCACACTTATGACCATTGCAAACTGTTGCACCATCCCCACGATCACATGATTACAAATCGCGACCTTTTTTTACAATAGTCATAAAGTGAATCACTGCGGTTGTTAAATGAATCACATGTCATTAAGCAAATCACATGTTTGTTATCAAATTCTGGCAAAAAACGTCCATTGGGGAAGCTGGATTTGCTTAACAACCAAGTGACTTGCTTAACAACCGCAGTGAATCACTTTATGATTGTCATAAATTGGTAATAAAATTGGGTCGGTCACGTGGTGACTCGTGTAACAACTGCCCCACTTAATGACCATTTTTCCAATCCCTATTGTGGTCATTAAGCGAGGACTACCTGTATTGACTGTTCATGAAGTAATCTTGTGTAACAGAGAAAAACATGGGTGAGACGGTGACTAGCAACCACTGCAGACTGGTACAGAACACCAGGTAGCAGGGAGGCATAGATCAGGTTTGCATAGAGACATATGTCACACATCTCTCGGCATCATGGCACATCCAGAACTTGCAAGTAATGGTTCCTAGTATCCTAACCCCACCCAGGAAATACTATCTGTTGCTACATCTCTGTATGTTATATTCCAGATGCCCAACATGTGGCTCAGTGGCTTTTCAGCCATTACTGTGCCCACAACTGGATAGCTTTCTTCTTCCTCTGGGGTGGCTTCAGCAAGGCTGCAAGTAGTGGCATGCTTTGGTTTGTGGGAAGCACTCAGTCTGGGATGGTGCGCCTTGATTGTGCACCCGGCTGTTGAGGACAGCTCACCCTTCACTACTTTCCTAGGCCAGGACGAGACAGTCCACAGGACAGTAAACTCAAGAAGCACACCTGGGTGGCTAATGGAACACACTTCCTAACCTGCACTGCTGTGACCAAAGGAGAAAAAGGTCAGCAGCGTGCCAGGAGGTCATCCCTATCTAGTGATTGTGCACTTTGTGTTAGCTGCTGTGCATGATAGGGCTTTTGAGATCGGAAAAGGATAGGCAAGAGCTGGGAACTCAGCCTTCGCCCCAAGAGGACTCTTGTGCGCTTGCACGAACATGTGCCAAGAAAAGCCACAAACTCGTCTGTCTGCCTGTTTCTTCAGAGAGGAACAGACCAAGTACCCGCAGCCTAGCTGCTTTCGTTTTGTCCTACGGCTCAAGTACTTGTGGCCACACTCTGTCAGAAGGAAGAGGAACTTAGACCATGGGGCCCCTTCCCATAATAGGTGACTGAATACATACACAGTGGAATGCACGTTCAATAGGAATTTGTGGGACATCTGGATGGTGAAGTAGAGCCCAGTTGGCGTGGCCTCTCATTTGGCCACCAAGAGGAATAAATAGCGTTCTGTGGGTTTGCAACTGGGCAGGAAAAAACTGATGTGACAGAGAGGCCATATTAAAAAGCTTAAGAATTGCCAGCTACACTTCACACTGTTCACACTTGGAACAGGGCTATTGAAAAATGACCCCAAAGTCTGAGTAGACATACTGTATATGGGAGAAGTTAGGCAACATGGTCCTGAGCTGTTTAGAGGTTTGAAGGCTAAAACTTTTAATTGGGGTCAGGAAAGGGCTAAGATAAAGTCACTGTTAAAGCCCAGGTAAAATGGGATGAAGCTTCCTGCTCCCCACTAATCGTGCAATTCTATGCTAATCAAGTACAATTTCCAAATTGTTCCCAAAGCAGCTCTCGTGTAAAACACGTTGCAGCAGACTAGACAAGAGGTTCCTAAAGCATGGGAAGATGTCTGTTTTACCTTTATTGTCTATAAATTACATTGCAAGCCACTCACAATTTAAATAGGGATTCTTAGAGGTACAGTATAGCTATTGGCACTGCCAGATCTGGGCTGCCAAATTCCAGATGACCACTAGATGGCGGCAAACAGAGCTTTTTGTATCTACCTTAAAGTTTGAACCAGCCTTTCAGGCAATATGATCCTAGGCTTTTAGAGCTTTAAAAGTTAAAATTGATCCAGAAAAAGATTGGGGCTGCAAAGCACCAGGCAATGATAAGATGGTACCAAACAGCACTTTCTGAATCTCTTTGCTGCCGTCTTGCAGTCATTTGGATTGGTGCAGTCCAGACTGATGGCTCTAATAGGTATGTTTGTTAAATGTGCAGTCCCAAACTAATAAAAGAGGATGACTGTTCCTCATCCTATATGCCCATATTCCACCTCCCTCCCTCTCTTCCTTCCCTTTCCTTTTAGGGATCACATACTGGTTCCAGCATCCTCTGTAAACTTAGGCACTATTTCCTAAGTCATCTTCTTCCTTTTGTTTATCTGATTTACAAGTACAGTCAAAGGTAGAACATGGGAAAAATAAAAAGGACAAAAAAGAGAGAGAAAGGAAATTTACAAGCACTGTAGGCTACTTCCAAAGTCTTAAGTGTCTGAGAACCAAGCGTCCAAATATATGTACTGTCAGGCTAACGTAAAAATGCATAAACATTAAAAAGTTTGAACATAAGATCTCAGCATGGGCGTCCAAAAGATAGCATTCTAGGGATAAAACAAAGTAGTGAAAGGTGCCCCCTTCATGGATCACTGCCTTGTCGTGGCGAAGGGGCTTGCGTAACTCAGTGAAGCCATGAGCTATACCGTGCAGGGCCATCCCAGAC